CAAGCTACAGCTCTGCAGAACAGGAGAAAAGAAGGGTTTTTTTCCCCTGTTTCTCACTTCTTACTTTTGTAATTTAGAGAAGAAGATACATTGCAGGAATTGGCTTGAGAGTTTTGTGGAGAATTTGGAAGCACTTTTAGCCATTTGAACTGGAGGACTCTTAAAATCATTCCATTAAAACTGGTGGAACTTCAAAGTTGTAGCTCTTTCCTGCAGCAGAACATTTTTAGTTGCTGACAGCTTTCTCTGATTTCATTGTTTCTCATAGCTTATTTAGAGGTCTGTATTTCAAAGCATGAAAGGCAAAAATATCAAGCCTTCATAGGAGGAAAATATTTCCTGTAAGATGCACAGGAAGGTGGCACTGGCTTGTCAGTTTAGGGACTCGTCCTTCTGTCCCTTCAGATGTGCTGGTGGCACTGAAGGGCATTTGGTGGAGCTGGAAGGTTCTCACCTGGAGCCTTTCGGGGACCGGAGCAGGGTGTGAAAGCCACTGTTGGCTGTGGTGTCGCTTCAGCAGGTGAAATCCGCAGTTCTGCTGGAAGAGGATTGACCTGCAGGAGGGAGCAGGGCTGGCTGGGGGCAGTGGCTGGCAGAGAGAGCCCTGCCCTGCTGCCCGGCCCTGGAGCTGCTGTGGGGAGTGACAGGGACGAGCCACCTCGCGCTGGGCGGTGAGAGGAGGCATTTTGTCAAATTCCACTGTGTGCATTTAAAAAAACCCAGACAATCCATTCCAAAGGAACTGTGTTCTCCCCAAAGTAAGGAAAGCTGCGCTCAGCATTTTTCAGTCAAGGTCAAACGTTCCTCTGCAAACAGCGGTGGGCATGGGCTGACACATGGTTGCAGTCCCTCCAGTCAGAGGGTCCAGCACGGAGCGCGATTCCAGCTGTGCTGCTGCAGTCTGTGCTGACACGGGATGGGTGGGAGGGATGGCAGTCATGAGCCTGAGCTTGTCCTTTCCCCCAATCTCACACTTGCTTTGATACCTCGTCGTCGCCTCGTGTGGGTTAACATGCAGACATGATACTCTGTGGGGTGTTTGGTGGGGAAACAGGAAAGCGAGACAATCTTTATTTAAATAATTGCAGTACATCAAGCAAGCAGGAGGGTCACAAGAACAGTTAACATGTTGTGATGATGAACTTGCCTCCCGAAATTCAGCTGTGTTCAGCTGTGTGTTTAAGGTACAGGCTGTATGGCTGCAGATCCTTTTCCAAGACCTCTGTGTCACCTCCTGGGAGCGGAGTCGTTTGTTAGCGCGCTCTGCATTCCTCATTGTGTGCCGGGTTATGAATGAGGCTGATCTGCATAAAGCCCTGCTTCTCTCGCTGGGAGAGTCTATCGATGCCATAAATATAGCCGTGGGGTACTGGAAGAGGAATACTGCTGATAAAAATAGTAGACTGAGATGCAGCTGTCTGATTCTGCCACGAAGTTCCTGTGAATCCTGGCGAGGCGTTCAGCCTCTTGATGGTGCAATTTGACATCTTTGGGGATGTTCTGTAACTGCACCAGGCTGATGGGGGGCTGTGCACAATCACAGCAGCGGGACCAAGAAGGGGAGAGGGAGTATTCATTCCTAGGGTGTTGAGCAGACTGTGCAGAAAGTTAGAAAGGTGAATAATAAAGACCAGGAAGAAAGCGAAGATCTCTGTCCACCTGTGTGATGAATCACAGGTTTTGCCAATCAGTACATCATGGAAACCCCAGCCTGTGTATCCTGTTCTACAGAAATACCAAACTGACATTTTGGGGATTTCACATTGCTCTCTTCTTTTCCTGTTTGCACAGAGTGCATTTGACAGCTGCCTGCAAAGTGGCCTATTCAATAGTAGATTATTTTTATAGCACGAGTATTAGAAGAACATTTATTTTTTGTTTATGAATAAAGAATATATAAGATGCTGATGCTTAGAAAGTCCTCAAATTCCATTAAATTCAGCTCCTCCGTGAGGATCTGGTGATGGTGTGTGGGTGTAGGAGTGCAGAAGAAGGGGTATGCTGGCAGATCTCAGCAGATCTAGAAACTGAGTTTGGGTCTGTGATTTTGCTGGAATCTTTAAGGTGTTTGACTAAAGGTTTTCAAAACTGAATTTTGCTTCTCTGTGTTCTTCTCTCTCACTGGAAGTCACTGTTCCTCAGAGCGGGTCTGTGCTTTTATCAACAGGAGGAACTGTTAGAATTCTGTAGGCCACAACTACTAAATATGGCATCAAAACCCAAACTGAATGTGGGGGTTTGAACTTTTTTTTTTTTTTTTTTTTTTTTTTAAGAATATGAACTCTTCAGAGTTTCCAGTTAGCATTAATGTGTTGATAAATCAGCTGGAATGTATCTTCTTGAAAATTCTGAAGAGGAGGAAATAAAAATATGTTTGTATTAAACTTGCAGAATTTCCAGCACTTTCTCAGCATTCAGGTTTATGGGAAAAGCAGTTGCAGATGTACAGTTGGGAAGAAGCTTGGCTGATTTAGCACACGACTGTTAATGGCAGGAAGTCGGGGTGCAGAGTATAAAGGTAAAACTCTCGCATCTGCTGTTACATGTTGTTAACTCCCTCAGCAGACATTAAATCATTTCAAGTACAATAATAGTGTGGGAGGTAAATTAACTAGCCATTAACAATCTTATAAATACACAATTAACGTGCCAACATTTATATGACACATTGATGGGGCAGCAGTAATTTTTGATTGGGAGTTTGCAGACCTTTCCGATGCCTGAGGCTGTTGCTTATTTAAACAAATTTTTGCCAATTGCAGGTACACGTGGCCCTTCCTAATCAGTGAGTAGAAATAATTCCATTTAAAGAGCATTCTCAAGGCGTGTTTTGTGATGTCCACAAGCTGCACATGGTTGTGTCTGTGTTTTCTGAGCTGGTCACACAGGTGCAGGGCCAGAGCCCCGACACATCCATGGCTGCCTTTGGGTGGGACATCTGCCTCGGAGGACAGGGAGAACTCCCTCAGGAGCAGCCCTACTTACTTCCATGGAAAGAGTGAGAAAATTCAGAATGTGGAGTTGTGGTGCTGCTGAGGCTGGCAGGAGCCCCTGGAAATCCCATCCAAACTCCCACCTCCAGGCAGGGCCAGCCAAGCTCCAGGCTGTGTCCAGTTGGGCTTTGAGGGTCTCCAAGGGTCCTGCTGGAGCAAATTTCATTAATAGCATGATTTATTACAATGTATGGTAACAGTAGTGTATTAATAACCAGCAGCATGTCAGGTTTGTTTCTCTACCATTCCTTTATTGAATTTGTTTTTGCTGCTGGGTCTCTTGCTTAATGTAATACTTCTGAATTTGTGTGTATTTTTTAAAGCAAAAAGGGGATGGTGTCTGCAAAAAACACTATGATATTTGCAGTCAAGGGAGGAAAAAATGTTTTAAATTCTGAAGGCTTTAGTTCTATTTACTGAGTATTGCCATCAGTGGATACCCACCCATGTTTGCTGGGAGGGAGGACGCTGGTAGGAATGGAGGGTTTGCAATCTACAATAAACCTTGAAAATTTTGCTTTTGTCATGGTTAGATGAGTGTCCATATGAAGGTTTACTTTTGTTTCCACCTAAATGCAGAAGCTGCTCTGTGGGCCCCTCTGTGTTGGTGCACCTTTCCCTACACCTTTCCCCTTGGGAAAAAAAGGGAACATAGCAAAATGCATTTGCTGGCCCTGGAACAAGCCTGGAACAAGCCTGGCTGGTCCTTTCTTTCCCTTCCCTCTGTTAAAATATCCCAGGAGAAGGCCAGCTGCCTTTAGCAGGTTTTCTTGGGCTGTGGCTTTGTAGGACTTAAAGCAGCAGTTTTGCAAGCAGCAAGGCCAGGGGATTGCTGGTGCTTCTGAGTTCAAAATCCCAAACACACACATACAGCTCTATAAAGTTAAAGTGTTTTTCTCTGATTAGAAAAGCAGTGGGGATTTCAAACTTCTGGAATTTGCATCTAGTCTTGCTCTGTGTGTGAGCTGAGACCGAGCCCTCTCAGGTGGAGGTGTCTCCATGGCTCCTGCTCAGTGACAGACTCGCTGCATGAACAGGAATCTTTTTTTTTCTTTTTTTTTTTTTTTCGGTTATTTTCAGCAGGTCATGTTTTTGATCCAGCTCACCCCACAGCTCCACTGCCAGCTTTGGGAGGTGGTGGAATTCCTGGAGCAGGGCCAGGCAGGGCATGGAGCTGCCCCTTTCAGAGTCAGCCTGTGCTTGAATTAGATTGACATAACTACAAACCCACAGCTACAGAAAAATCAGATAACAATGTGAGCGTGGTTTGGGTTTTGTGGTTTGGGTTTTTTTTTACTTTTCCTTTTTGCCCTCTACTTTGTTTCAAAAGGCCACTTGAGTGCTCTGAATGAAATATCTTAGGTAAGTGGCAATTACTGTTCTTAAAGTGCTTTAGAGCTCAGGCGTGTGGTATTTGGTCACAGAGCTTTCTGTGTTACAGCAGTTGCCCTGTGAGAAGCACCATGCAGCAGCAGATGTTCAATATTCTGCCCTGAAACACTAATCTCTTCATGTTTAAGGTTTCTCCTGGAAATACAAAACCTGAAGAGGGTCTGTAATAAGGTAGTCAAAAAGTTGGTGTGTAGGTACAGAAGCAAAATAGTAACACAGTTAGGATGGGTGAAAAGAAATCCAAAACCCTGTCGGTTTTGTAAATGGATTAGTTGGAATAAGCAGATGTTTCTGTTCTGTACTCTCTTGCCATCCTCCTGTGTGGGGTATTTTGCCTTACAGCAGCCATGTGTTACAGAGTGCTGGAACCTGTCTGTAGGTATCTCTTGTGCTCTGTTGTCCTGGGACTCAGGTCTCAAGCTGTCCTCCAGCTCCCCTGTTCCTTGAATGGATCTCTACCCAGTGTAGCATAAGTAAACTGCAGCAGAACTGAACAGTTTGCCCTAAGCCAGTCAGGGTTTGTGCATCCCAAATAGTGACCTTCTGGAATGAGGGTTTGAGCTTTTGGTGTTTGAAGGGGTTTTGTTCCTAAAATGTGGCGTGCATTTTTTCTAGGTACGTGTGTCCATGAAACAAGATGGAGAGAAGATAGTACAGTGAAGTGGTGGCCTTGTGGACAGAATGGCTTTCCTGGACAACCCAACCATTATCCTCGCTCACATTCGACAGTCGCACGTGACCAGCGATGACACGGGGATGTGCGAGATGGTCCTGATCGACCACGACGTTGACCTGGAGAAGTTCAATCCCTCATCAGCACATGGGGATAATGGCTCAGAGCCACAGGGGAGCAATGGGGAGACTCAGGGCTATGTATATTCCCAATCAGTCGATATTACCTCAAGCTGGGACTTTGGAATCAGAAGACGATCAAACACAGGTGCGTGGTGTTTGCAGCAGCACTGGCTTTCACATTCTGCTGCCCTCAGTCTGGCTTGCCTGGACAGACCAGAGCGTGACTCGCTCAGCATCTGTCAAACTGCTTTTGTAATGCTGAGGCCCTTTTCTAGAAGGATATGTAATGATTCAGTTACTTCAGTGTGCTGTCAGCTGAGCCTTAATTGCTGTTTTACCTACTCCTGTACAGAAGAACATTGAGGTAGTCAGTTTTATATATATAAAAAAATTCAAACTGTGAAGACATCAAATCCAAATCCAAAGTGGATGAACAGTCTTTGATATCTCTATTGTTACTGTCTGAGGGGTGTTAACTTTTGAACAGGATAGTTATTTTCCGAGAAAAAATCTGCCTAGTGAGGCATCAAATATATTTGTTATAAAAGAGAGGAATGAAGTTTGATGTGAGCCAGCAAAGGGAATGATTTGTCTGTATTTTGTCTCCTAAAGTTTTATTTCTGAGAAGAACCTTGAGCTAGGGTTTAAGGTACCAAATTAGAAAGTTTAAGGGTGAACGCTTTTGCAAAATACGCTCATTTTGACTGGCAGAGAGCTCTCCCATGTGGGGTTTCATATAAGGGATATCCAGAGTTCTGCTTAGACCTGAGGAATATTATGAACAGGAGTTCTGTGAGGTAAAGTATAGACGAGGTGTGTGGTGGTCAGTACTGACCTCTTTTTTTCTGTTACTCTTTATTTTTTAGAAGTGATTTCTGCAGGTATTATAACACCACCTAGAGCCCAGAAAGCACCTCTGTGCTCTGCTCCACCAGGAAAATGTGTGTGGTGTTGGAGACACTGAAATGCCTTTTACAAGTAGGAAGTTGTAAAAGGTTCCACAGAAGCTGGGGCACTGCTCTCCTGTAGCAGAGTGAGGTTTGGAAACAAACTGAGATTACAGCCCTGGCAGGAAGGTGTGCTGGGGATCCAGCCCTGGGCTGGGAGAGCTCAGACCATGGTGCAGCTCATGAGGAAGGAGAGGCAAAGTTTGAAGGTTTATGGAGTTACTCCAGAACATGATCAGAAGGATCATTTCACCAAGGAGCAGACTGATGGAATAATCTCTGTGTGAATTACAGTTTGAAGTCATTTCAGGTGCCAGCTGGGGGCACGTTCTAAGGTCAGGGCTGGGAGCAGATTTCCTGCCTCAGCTCTGGCGTGGCAGGAGGAGAGGCCAGTGCCAGGTGCTGGGTGTGGGCGAGCAGCAAACTTCTCAGCTCTGCGCTGACCCTTGGTGCAGCCACCACTGCCTTTGGTCAGCCACATTTTTCACGCTGAAAACTGCCTGCCTGTTGCCTGAAAATTATCCCAGTGAGCCTGGGATGGTTCACATTTCCAGTGGGGACTGGCTGTTCTCTCTGCCTTGGCGCTGCTGTAGCGCGGTCCCGCAGTGAAGTGGTGCCTGGTGCTCAGCTGTGGGTGGAGGAGCAGGATGGAGTCAGGCAAGGTGGTGACTGTGCTCTTGTGCGTTTGTTTTGACAGGGTGAAAATACCAAACAGGATAAAAACATGCAGTATTCTTGTTTCTCCTCTGCAGTTTTCCTTTATCCTTTGTTTGCCTGCTCATCTAACAGATATTTTATGGTAGCTCGTTTGGGAAGAAAGGGTTTTGGAAGGAAACTTTGAGCTGCAGTGTGGGCAGTAACTAGTACAAATGTGGAGCTTTACTTTCAGAATAAAATATCTAGGCTACAGCAGCGTTTTCCCAATATTTAAACTTATGAGGAGGGATACTTTTCTTATTTCATTAAGAGGAAGCTACCTAGAGGTATTCAGGTTCTAGCATCGTGTTGTCTTAAACAAGAGATGCTTATCAAAGTCCCCATTTGTGCTTGTACCTTTAACTGCTTGTTACAGATGTTAAACCTCAAAGGAGTGTTTTTTTAATCAGTTCCCTGATTGACAGTTTTTATGGGGAAAAAAAATCACTTCCTTGTCCACAATTCAGTTCAAAGACCTAAATGTAAAAGAATAGTAACAGAAGGGATAGAAAATATTTATTAATGTTTTTTAATTGCTGAAAAGGCTCAAGGAACTTCCATTGTATCCAAAAATTGTCAGAGTAATTTAGCATTTTTGAATCTCTTCTACAAACCCATTTTAGTTAATGAATTATCTCAATACATCAAAATTGCTAATATATCCAGCAAATTGTTTCCTTCAGGGATCAGCACTGTTAGTTCTACTTCCCAGTCTAATCTGCTTATTTTGAGTGGACACTTCATGACATATCTGTTTTTTTGGGGTCATTGTCTTGGGTGGCTTCCAGCAGGTTTTTTTTCCCCAAGGAAGCTCTTACTGTTAACAAAAAAGGAAATTTAAATTGTGTGGTACACTGGGCTGCAAGTTCGTTGATATCAGAACAATTTTGGGGCTTTTTTTTCCAACCATATTTTGAAGATGGAGTCAAAATATATGTAAAGAAATATTATATTCATTTTAGGATTTGACTAATGTTGTGAAGATACAAATCATTTATTTTACTACCTATAAACTGTTTCAGCCTACTGAAGAAAAAGCTGTGCTAATTTATATCGCTTTGACATTTTATAATTTTCATGATTTTTAGATAAAGGATTTTATATTTAAAACTTTAATAGTCTAGTCTGAGTTCATTTATCTTTAATTTTTGAAACGGGTAGAGTAATTCATAACAGTAATTTTATTCCTGTAATGTAATATTCACTTCAGTTCATTTGTGCATTAAAATTCCTTTAAGACCGTTATTAATGATTTATATAATGAAATGTCATATTAATCACAGAAGTTTTCACATTTTATTATTCTCTTCCATGTTAATACTATCTTTATGATCTCTATTAATGTTTTATATCCTCTAATTTCAATTATAAATCAAGAACATTTTCATGTTTTTGTTGGTATTTGCTTTTCAGGGGTGCCACCTTTAAAATTTTATGACTTTTTCCCCTACATATGCAGTATAAAACATCTTTATTCATATAAAGGTAGTTAATTATGTCTTTGTTTATAGTAAACTTTCATTGACAAACTTATAGTTGTAATATTTCTTTTCAAGCTCAGAGACTAGAACGTCTGCGGAAAGAGAGACAAAATCAAATAAAATGCAAAAACGTTCAGTGGAAAGACAGAAATACTTCTTGCTCAGGTAAAAGAAAATATCTTTTCTTTTCCTTCTGGTTTGATTCCTGCCCTTGATGGTTACAACATTTGCAGTTTGATTTTCCCCTAGGGTTTCAAAGCATGGAGGAAATTCTTTGTGCTGTCCCGGGGGTGTTAATAAAGAAAAGAAGAGGAAAAGTGTTGAACACCCAGTTTGGCCTGAGGTTATGGAGTGGCTGTTTTGGGTTCTGCACTCCAAGGCATCACTGTGGTGTTTGGGTGATGGAGGATTTTGTAGAGTTTACTTCTATAGAGGATTTTTGAAGCTACTTTTTTAGATAAGGTAGGAATCTTAAGAAATAAAGAGTAGATGTATGATCTACTTAAATGCAAGCATAATAAATGCTGTCTTAGCTTATCTGGTCTTTCCTGGTAAAACTATTATCACTGATTTCTCAAAAAAATATTAAATTCTATTTTTGTTAAATATATAATTAAGTGTTTGTCACTGGATGTTCTACATAGTTTAAATTGTAATATATGAAATTACAAATCTGTCTCAATTTTCCTATTTTAGAGTTCAAGCTAGTTTCTATTTCTGTTGTATTTGACACACATTCAAACCTTTGTATGGTCTGTCATGCCTACTTCTTTCAAAATTCGTGTATATCTTAATGAGGTCCCTCTGTAATCTCCCTTTTTTTGCCTAATTCCTCATATCTCCATGGCTGTCATTTGCAGAACATTCTCCAGCACTCTAATATCTTTTTCAGAGGAGTGAACAAAGCTGCTCACACGGGCAGCACAGTCGCACTAATCCTTAATTCAGTGTTCAGCTGTGTTGGATACCCCTGTTAATGCATTCTGAAATGTTTTTGCCTTTCTCTTTCTGAAAGCAGAGTTGTAGGTTTTAAAGGTTAATCTACCATAACCTCCAACTCTTTGCTCCATATTTTATAGCATTTGGCCAGTGATGATGCAGATCTCTCTCCTGTGTCTCCTGCCCTCTGAGCTGGCTCCGGGTCCTGCGCAGCCGCTGCCGGGGGCTCCATGGTCACATCCCCTCCCTCTGCGCTGCCCTGCAGACACAGCAGCTGTCCCAGCAGTCACACTTGTCCCCCTGAGGAACGTGCTGGCAAATGGATCAGTCCCTGCCTGCTGCAGATCTGGTTTAAATTAAACAATAAATAAGTTACACAAAAACTCCAGGCACTCTGGCTCTGTTGGCAGAGCTGATTTTCCTTCTCTGCTTACTCCTTTCTCTGCCACTGAGATCTGAGTGTTTCTGCCTTACTTGCATGAACAACACCACTCCAGCGAGGGGAAAGAGGAGCCCTTATCCTTAAGGATATCCTCTGTACCTTTGCATCTTACATTCCTTCATTTCAGAGCATATAAAATGCAAATTAACACTATATCAAGGAAATCCTTCCGAAGTCTTGCATTCAGCCCATACAGAATTGCTGTAGATAAAAACTTGCTTTTTCACTTGTACGAGTAAAACCTCGTGTTGAACTCCAAGTGCCCAGAAATTATCAGTTAAAGGTAATACTCCAGCATAATGATTTAGATTTTTTTAAAAACCAATGAAGAGCTATAAGAGCTTGTTGAAAAACCAAAACAACCTAATGGAGTTAAAGTGGCCACATTGAAAGGGATTAAATCAAGCTTTTTTGGTTAATTGCAGCCTCTCACAAGCCCGTGGGGATCTCTCAGTGCCAGTATTTAGCACCTCTGCCAACTGCCTGAATTTTAAGGCAATCTGCTGGTAAAAATAAATGGAGCTTTTGACTAGTTATCATTTGACAGGTTTTAATTTTGCGCTCTAAGAAATGAACCAACTCCCTGCAGATCAAGTCCCGGGTCATTCCACCTTGGGAACAGTTCCACTTCCCTGGAGAAGCAAGATGTAAATCTGTGAGCTGTGAGGGAAGCCAAGGGCAGGAGTGCTGGCCTGGGCGAGCTGGGGTTGGTTCTGGGCAGTGATTGATGGAGGCTGGGGGCTCTTGGTTCCTGGAGCAGATGTGGGAAGCCTTGTCCAGCTTAAGTCACGGCTCCCTGCAGATGAGACCCGTTGGTGCTGGTGTGCTGAAACACCCCGGGCTCTGCCCCGATTTCGTCGTGGCCCTGTAACATAAGAAGTGATATCTTTTCAGGGTTTTTTAAAGTATGCCTCTAAGTTGAGTTGTTGGAAATTCAGCTGTGCACTTTATTCACATAAAAAGGCTTTTATGAGCCTTCACAGACCACACAGAGACCTCCTGAACTTGGATCCCCTTTGTTTTAGAAAGCTTTTTTTGTTTTTATTGTTCAGACTGTTGATCTGGAATGGTGGTTTCAAGTTTGACGTTTTTATGAGGGGAGGCTGTATCCAGTCTGCTACGAGAAGTGAAATCTGCAGAGATGATCCTTTGGGCTGAGGCGTGTGCCAGGGCTGCAGCTGGCAGTGGGTGTCATTGCAGGGCAGTGTGGTGCTGTCCTGTGCTGTGGCACCGTGCCATGTGCTGCAGCTCCATGGGAACTGTGCTCTTCATGTGCCAGCAGCTTTTCCTTCCTGTTCCCTGCTTGTTTAGGAGAAGGTAGGCAAGCAGAAAGACCAGGAATGTGTCATTCTCTTGTTATCCTGGCTCAAGTGGATCTTATACTGATCAGTTCTGTTCTCTGTACAGGAGAAACTCAACTTTTTCTCAGCTTAAACAGGAGCATCATTCAAACTTCTTAATGGTTTCATATCCTTGGGCTGTGAAGGAGTGGTAGTAGATCCTGCCCTGCTGAAGCATTTGTTGGTTTGTTTATTTGATTTTGTGCTCCCTCTTACGATGTTATCTCTCTGTGGTGAGCAGCAGCCTCTGCCACATCTCCTCATAAGATGCCTCTAATCTCTTTTCTGATCCGCAGCAGAGGAGCTGAGCTCACTGTTTGAAAAGAAGAATTTTAGAGTGAAATCCCCATGTTCTGGGAAGCAGTCCATCCTCTCTGTGCGTCTGGAACAGTGTCCACTGCAGCTCAACAACCCCTTCAATGAGTACTCCAAATTCGACGGCAAGGTGAGTGACCGGGTGGCTTTGTCAGGTGCTGGGGTCCCCTGGCAGTGACAGCCTGAGGCACTGCTCCTGTGCAAGCTCACTTAGACTTTGTAGTGCCAGTGCTTGTCTACAAACAATCAAATGTAGTGGTTCCAGGTTCAGTAGGGCCCTTTCTCCTGTTTCCATTACAAAATTCTGGACTGAGACTTTCTCTACCTTGCTGTTTCCTTCTCCAGCAGGTTAGTGAGGTGCTTTACTGGGACAGAGCCCTGGGATGTCTGTCTAGAGTTGATGATGAGACCCTTTGTATAAATGATTGATTATTTGGCATTTAAAAAAAACCCCAAAACTGTTCTGTCTATCCACATCACAGCACTTGCTGAATGTTCCATGACTCATGTCTTTGTCCTCAGTGCTCTACTGAGAGTGGGAGAAGCCATGGTCTCTGTTGAGGGTGGAAAACAAGTATCAGTAGGTCAGTATCCAAGGCAGAACGAAGCACTAATCAATGTGTTTCTGCACAAGTGCTCATTTGTGTAACACAGGGAGGAGATTGGCTGCAAACCTGGCAGGTCATGGGGGTCAGGAGATGGATCTGGTATCGCTCACCCTGGGGATAAATGGCTTGCCTGTGCTCCATATTGTCAAATATTTCTCTCTGTCATCATCTCTAGAAACTGAAATATAAACATTGGTGTGATGGATCATTGTCATATTGTTCCAAAACAAGTATAAATACTCCACAGATCTGTTTTCTACTGGATTTGTTTGTGGAATCTCCTGTGGGAGGATGGAGTTTGAGCTTCATTACCATTGTGATGGAAGAATTTCATATTCTGTTAGGTGTTCTTGAAGTGGAAAGCCAGATTCGTAATTCCACTGACATTTCTAGGAGTATCTGGAATATTTCTGAGATGGTAACCTTTAGACTATGAAGTCCAAGTATGAAAGCTCCTCTACTGTGATTTAATATTTATTAGCATGTGGCAGTTAATGCTAACTCAGGTTTTCAAAATTCCTGGCCTCATTAATGAGTGACAGCAGCACTTTCATGCTGACAGCACCAAGAGGCCTTTTTTCTAAACTCCAGGTTTGTTGTTCTGGTGCCATGAAATTTCAGTTGGACAAACATTTAAATGGAACTCGTCTATAGGGGAGGTAAAAATCAAATGCTTCTTTTTAAAGAGAATTCTGTTATAATTCAGTCATGTTCAAGTCTTGTTTCTCAGAAACTTGAGAAACATCAGCAATTTTCCTTCCCTCTTTTATAATCCAAGCTCATCTTTACTGTATTAATTGTTGTTGTCTATAATGAACATCTTCATTTTCACCTATTGAAGTCAGATACGTTTGGCAGGTGTTTGGTCCACTGGAAGCAAGTTGCACTCTATATGTCAGTTTAAGAGGTTAAGGAAATACCTCAATGTCACTCAATTGTGACTTGCAGGGTTTGATATGAATTATCTCAGCTGTGATCTGCAGATCAAGATACCTTCCTTACAATCCAAAATAATAGGATGGGTATTTTGTTAGAGCATAATCTCAATCTATTAATTTTAACACCATTGTTTCTATTACTCTGTTAGTGTATCAATAGTTTGCATATAAAGTTTATTCTCTATAGTTCTGTATGTATTATCTAGTTTAATGCTTGGCTGACCATCTGAGATCTAGAAAAAACATAGTCCAGTTGTGAATTATTTTACTTCAGTTCTCGTGTGTTTTCAGTCAGTAAAAACACCAGAAATCATCGCACTTTTAAAAATTATTTTTAATGACATATCATATGTCTTGTATTTATTTTTATTGATAATAGATGAGCAGTATTTCACAGAAATATAATTCTTTCTGGGAATAGGGCATGGCTTATTTACATAATTAACAGAGCCATGTATCTCTGGGGGAAATGGTACATAATTGGGGAGAGGTGGGGGAGTGAGGAGGGGCTGGGGGCCTAATTAAACATGTCTTAAAAACACCCTACTTAATTATGTATTTACTCAGGGGCTCACAGTGGCCCTCAGATCTTTAGGGCTATAAGCAGGCCTTTGGTTTGTGCATATTTGATTTTGGTAATGCAGATTTCAGGTTGCTCAGTACCAGTCCTTTCTTGGTGCATTTGCAAAGCAGGAGAGCTCAGTGTTCTGTGCCATGTCTGTGCTCCTCATCCTCACTGGTTTCACCCCTGACTCAGCTCCTGACCTGAAATCAGATAAATCCTCCTCGGGGTCCTCCTTCCCTAAGCCCCTCTTGAAGGTATTGTTTTCAGCTGATCAGAGCAGGTTGTGTGCTGGAATGCCAGCCTGGGCAGTGCTCACATCCTCCAGGTGTTTCCTGCCAGATTTAGTGTCTATTTCATAACCACTTCTGTGATTTTATGAAATAGTAAAATTTTAGAGCACTCTAATTTTTTCCTGTCCTGATCACTTCATTAATTATCAAAACAGTAGAGAATATGCCTTGTGAAATACAGCTACAGTGGAGGCATTCTCAGCAGCTCAGGAATCCACACAACTGGCTCCACCACTACCCAGGACAGATTTGTGGTTTTCTATGCATTGTAAAACTTCAGTTCTTAACAGGAGCCACACTTACAGTAACTACTCTCAACTCTTTCTTCAAGTTTTTCCTTAAATAGTTATAGTAAACCTCAGCTCTGGACCTGTTCTCATGTTTTGTAAAGCACATGGGTTGTACTTGGTTAATAAATCTTATATACACTTTCTAAGAATTTTGTACCGAAAGAACATTTAGTTCTTTGTAATTCCTCCAGGTGTCATTGGAATAGAAAATTACTTGAAGGCTTAAGAAATCACTGGCCAAATTGATTTCTTTTGTATGCATGCAAATTAAATGATCACCCATTTGATAAATAAATTTGTGTTTATTTCTGTTTACAGGACTTGGAAAATCAAGTTTTGACAGTTTATTGTTCCATCTTGCTGAGTTTTAATAATGTTGGGAAAAAAAGCCTCAGTGTAAGACAGAGCTGAAAGCCCTGTCCAGGTAGCACAGGTGACACACAGGAGTGGTGATGGCTCATTTCAGTGACCCAGCTGAGTTTCACAATGCTCAGGCAGGAAAGAGGTGCAGAAGAGATCAAAAATGTGAGGAAGGAATTGTTTGGCTCTAGAGTAAGCTGGGGTTATGAGACCAAAAGCCTTTGACCAGATTTTCTCAGGTTGTTTTTATTTCTGCTTTCATGATTAGCTGCAAATGGAGTTAGAAGGAAGTTTGGCTTTTCTGATCTTATGAAGTTTTCTGGCGTTTGCTTGAGTACTGGAGGTAATTTAGCTGAACATTGGTCAGTGTAATTTTTGGTTGGACAAATGCTAAAAATCCTTTGGTGAGGAATAGTGCCTCTCTGTAGTGCCACAAGGTTTCTTGTGGCTACTTTGGTAATGGGTTAAAAAGCAACAATTTCTCATGTAGCAACTGTTTTAAAAATGATGCTGTAGCAAGCATGGGGGAAGGGATAATTCATGAGTGCTAATTGCTTGGCTGTTAATTTTCATAAGTGTTGATAGAAGCAGTTCCTTAAATTAAACTTTGTTTAAAATGTATCAGGGGAAATATTCCACAATGTCGGGCCCGAAGTGAAAATTAATATGAATGCTGTGGCAATTAACACGTACTGGTTAATAGCTTTTAGCAGCATTTTGGGATGATAGTCCTTAAATACATTTTTGCATGCTGCTCTTGTTTCAGTCTTGTTTGACTGTATGTCTGCATAATCACGAACAAATGTTTTCCACAATCCCCAGTATTAAATAGCTTTACTTAAAGAAAGTAGATAAAGAACTTAAGAAAGAAGCAATATTGCTTTAATTAAGATGGAAAATGTGTAAAATAATTAATCCAGGATTAAGATCTCTGTGTGGAAAAAAAATAGGTTTTTTATTTCAGTGTTTTGCCCCTAAGCTGAGTGAAATGATCCTCATTTGAATCCAACCGAAATAAATTTGCGTAGGGGTTGTTTGTAAAGCATTTGCTAGAAGTAGTGGTTTGCTTGCTGCTGCCTGACCCTGGAGAGCTCCTGCTGGGTGCTGAGGTTGTGCTGGGTGTCCCTGGCACTGTCCCTCCTGCGGCCCCAGGCCAGTGAGAGACCATCACAGGCCACCTGGTGCCACGGCAGAGACTGAAACCACAGCAGCCCCTCCTTCCCCTGCCTTTTGTTGTGTTTTATTTGGATTTCACCTGGCTGGAGGGCCAGGTCTGTTGGGGTGCTGGGGCAAGGAGGAGCAGCTCAGCCCAGGGCAGCAGCCAGCAGCCTGAGCCTGGCTGGACAGCTGTGCTGCAGCTCTGCCTCGGCTGTGCCTGGCCCTGCCCTCGTGGCCCATGTTTTGGTAGGGACAGTGTGCTGTCCTGTGTGCTGTCCTGTGTGCTCAGTGTGCTGTCCCTGTGCTCAGTGTGCTGTTCTGTGTGCTCAGTGTGCTGTTCTGTGTGCTCAGTGTGCTGTCCCGTGTGCTCAGTGTGCTGTCCCTGTGCTCAGTGTGCTGTCCCTGTGCTCAGTGTGCTGTCCCTGTGCTCAGTGTGCTGTCCCTGTGCTCAGTGTGCTGTTCTGTGTGCTCAGTGTGCTGTTCTGTGTGCTCAGTGTGCTGTCCTGTGTGCTCAGTGTGCTGTCCCTGTGCTCAGTGTGCTGTCCCTGTGCTCAGTGTGCTGTTCTGTGTGCTCAGTGTGCTGTTCTGTGTGCTCAGTGTGCTGTCCTGTGTGCTCAGTGTGCTGTTCTGTGTGCTCAGTGTGCTGTTCTGTGTGCTCAGTGTGCTGTTCTGTGTGCTCAGTGTGCTGTTCTGTGTGCTCAGTGTGCTGTTCTGTGTGCTCAGTGTGCTGTTCTGTGTGCTCAGTGTGCTGTTCTGTGTGCTCAGTGTGCTGTTCTGTGTGCTCAGTGTGCTGTTCTGTGTGCTCAGTGTGCTGTTCTGTGTGCTCAGTGTGCTGTTCTGTGTGCTCAGTGTGCTGTTCTGTGTGCTCAGTGTGCTGTTCTGTGTGCTCAGTGTGCTGTTCTGTGTGCTCAGTGTGCTGTT